TACTGAAAGTAGGTTTTGATTGTTTGAAAATAAGATAACGTTATGTCAATTTATTTTTGCAAGATACTCTTTGAATTGGAGAAAAAAAGATAAATGCATCCAGTAATACTTCTTTCGTAAAACTTGCGCCATGAATCTACTAGTTATTCATTTCACTATGTGTTCATGTTTTCTCTTTCCATGTCAATTAAAAAAATAAAGAAAAAAAATCTATGCATAAATGGGTGTGGGTGAGTGTTAGGTTAAGAGTATACTCACACCCACACCCACCTACCCACACATACCATCCTTCGTTCAGTCCTTATCATCATATTGTTCAATCTGTCAGTTATATCGGACTATATAGTTCGTAAGGATATCAACAAATCGAATATGACACTTAACAATTACTAGTAACAATCAGATAAGAGATAATAGTGTACAGACTGATAATCAGCTTCTTTTTATGCGCATATCAACTGGATTCTTCGAATAACACGAGGAAACAGTTATGATTGGTAATTTCCTTTTTTCGCTTCAGGTACTTTGTGAATGGATGTATGTGTTGTTTTGTGGCCTTAGATTTGGCTACTAGTTTAGCATTATACTTCATATTCCCACACTCACACCCTGAGCTCTATAAATCTTGAAGGTTTCAAGCTATTTGAAGATGGTCTTGTTTAAAGTAGTACCTTTTCCATGTGATAAGCCACATGAAATTGATAAGAAAAGAGAAAAATAAAGAACAGAAGACAATAATCTGATAAAGGTCGTGTTTGACGAGTTACTGTGTGAATCATATCGATGCACTATTCCGGTCTTTGCTCACGTTCAATTCTTATTCTTAGCAGCCATTTCACTGTCGTCCTGAATAATATCCATTCGTGGCGCAGGAATTGGCTGTTGTAATCCGGATTCATTCGCTCCTGTTTGGTATTGAGATGGCGATGTCCTTTTTGTCGCCCGCTTTTTTCTCAGATTTTCATTGACATTTCGAACTTGATTATCACTAACAGCGGATGATGGAACACTTGACATTTGTTCTGAAGAACATGGAAACTGAAGTGAAGAATTACTCGGCAATTGTTTACCAGCAGCAGTCATGGGCGGTACCACACGTTCTTCTGATGTCACATTGAGCCTTTGTGGAGTGATCATAGTAGCTTTTGAGAATGCAGGTATCATTGGTTCCTGAGATGATGGTCCATAGACATGGCAATGTGATCGTTTTTTGTGCATTTTTCTTGCAGCTTTTTGATGACACCTTTGCATTTGTTGAGTAAAATTTGATTGTGTGTGTAGTGTGGCAGAATCGCTGATGCCTGAAGCGATTGCTGTTGGATAATCGATTGTCAATTGATTCGAAAAATCAAGGCTGGCATTACTGCCGATGTTCAGTGGTACTTGCGCTTCTGAACGATTATATGGTAATGCTGAAGATGCAAGCGGCGTGTAATGTGCATGGAGTTCTTGTGCAACCGTTTTGTTTAAGATATTTGATCGAATATTGATATAACGTTCGGCTGGACTTTGCGGGTAACCATCGATTTCCATAGTTATCTGTCGTGATATAGGTATTTCAGCAGGATATTCTTCTTCAATCAGACTATTGTTTCGTTGTGCATGCATTTGTGTCCTTCGACTTTTGAGGTCTTTTCTCCAATCGAACAATTGCCAATTATTAATCATTGTATAGGCGAGATACCAGCGAAATCGAGCATGCTTTTTTCGTAACCTCTGCTCGTTTTCGCTGACCTCGGTCAGATTGAGTAGATGATTCCTGGTCGAATAGGCTGTGTATATATTAGAATCTGACTGCTTCGCTTCTTCTTCACTTTCGTCGTCTTCTAAATTTACTGTTGATGGTAATTTTTTCGTGTTTTCCTTGATCTCTCTTTCTTTATGCTTCTTCTTCATTGATGACGATGAAGTACAATCTTTCTTTGGTGGATGAGTTGGCGGAGTCATGTTTATTTTCGTTTTTGTCGTCTGTATATGATGTTTTTGTTCGATATTTTCCTCGTCACTTTCGTTATCTATATTCTTTCGAATTATGTTATTGTCCGATGCACGTCTGGACATTCTATTCAGAACCAATGGTATATCTTTTGATGTCTGTATGTTTTTTAATTCATAATACTCATCATCAAGTTCAGCTGGACTAATGCAACATTCATCGTCATCGAAACATTTCGGTCGACGTTCAAGAATATCATCATAGAGTGAATAACAAAAGGCTATGAGAGAAACAGAGAAAAATCTATAAATATATCAAAATAACCTATCATCATCATACCGAGCATCACAGGATGTGTGTGAGCCACTTCCATATGTAAATATGAAACGTAGGCCGCAAAGCCATGATCTAAATCAAGTTAAGAATAAATAAATTAGAGATTAAAACTGCTGTTGTCTTACCAAACGTTTCCAATGTGCGTCCTAGCACACTGCAATCCAATCGTCCCATAAAAAGTATATTGAACAATGTGACTTTGATCAAACGAATAATGCACGAAACAATACCAAGAAAGCAATCTATAAATCAAAACTCATCCACACTTCCATCATCTATTGTCATTACTCACCAGTAATAAAATTAGCATAGAAAAAAATTGCGTAAATTTTCCGATTTTTCAAATTCAATCTCTTTTCTAAATTTTGAATAATCAAAAATTTGCCTACCCACGACATGCTGACCACTATCCATAGATAGATAACTAGAAAAGGTACGGTAATAGCCAGTATCAATTCGAAATAGCGACTATTTGTCGACATAAATCGAATAGCACTTAAAATGAAGAGAATCAAATGAAAAACAACAATAAAGCCCAAAGCCATATATGTGACGAGAAAGCCCGAATAATGAACAGATTTCGATGCAATAAAACTTGTTTTGAAGTTTACTGAAGATGGTACCTCTTCATAGATGCCTTTGTACAATTGTTGTGTGTGTCTTTTATAATTTCGTACACTCCAAAACAATTGCAATGCGGAAAGAATGAAGGTAATAGTTGCACTAAGAATTATATCGACATTGAATAACCAAGTTTTGACATCTTGAAAAAGAACAAAACTATTTATTATTTTTATGAAGAAGAAAAAAAAAATCCGTAGATGAACTAACCGATACTGAGCATTGGTTCGATGTAAAATTTTAGATATGAGAAGTGTCCTGGTATCATTGAAATGTGGAGAAAAATACATGTATATGCAAGATAATATAGAAAAATAAAAGTAACTAAATAGGTACATGTAGTCATCGTCGTAAAACGAAAGCTGTTATCCCAATGATAGATACAATCGAAGAACTTTTTCATGCGTGATTGTTCTCCTTGGTTTTGTAATTTAACTACATGTTTATAATCGATAAGATTATCAGAATGTATATCTTGTTTGTCAGATGTTGTCACTTTTGTATAGGATAGAATATTTCGTCGAAATAATTCTGTGACATAATATTGTGAAAATTTACTTTCTTCACATGGTGTTATGGGTGAAAGCCAAATATTTTCTTTTTTCTTACATCGAACATAAATTGAATCATAAGCAAAACGTACAGCTAATTCTGCACCAATAAATGAGACTAAAAGAAAATGTGGTGTATTTTTGATAAAACCGAAAACAATAGCCCAAGTTCCCAGTTCCTAAAAATGAATCCTTATCAATCTCACTCTTTCAATAATGAATGCATACCAAGCGTAATTTTGATTCTTCCAAAATCGAGTAAGTTTTTGATCGTGGTAAAAAACTCATGCATAATCCTTCACGTATACTTATATATGCAATATTACCAATGATGTATAGAAAAGCAAAGAAACGAACAATAACATTTCTTAGCTGTAAAGAGGCTAGAATCGGATAGTAACGAAATCTGAAGAAAAAGGACAAATAAATAATTATTGAATATATTTCAAAACAAAAAAAAAAATTGGACTGACCCGAGAAGAATTAAAATGACACAATATCCGAGTAATGTAATGAATACACCATTATTCATCAGGTCGATGGGCCTAAAGAATCCTTCAAAAATGTTTAATACTTCAAAAGCAAGAATGCCGAATACAGCCGCTGTTGTGAATCGGTTCGTCGTACGGAATGGTTCAATCGGTGATATTATACCAGGTCGGCCATTGCACGTCGTTCGACATAGTCTTTCTCGTTTGATTGACCAAGAAAATATAATAATTAATGTGACAGCAAAGGGAAAAAATATGAAACTTTCGACTACATAATGCGAATTTCGTGCACATTCTGCTACTATACGAACAGTATCGTTGAATTGTATGCCGAATTCGGTTTCATGGTTGATCTTGTATAGAAATGAAGTGAAATGATGCACCATCGGTACGATAAAGATTAGAGCAAGAATAAATACAGTCAAGCCACCGACCCAAAACGAACGAGTTGGATCAAGTTTCTTCGGATTTAATAATGGAGCAGGTGTTCGAGGTAAACTGAAAAATAAAATAAAACTGAATAAGTAAAAGCCTTAAAGAATTAGTTGTTTGCTAGATTTGCAAACTTATTAATAAAAAACAGAAATAGAAAGAACATATATTGATCTTCTACAGATTTGAGTGAAGTATCGAACCTTGAATTTGTTCTTTGTTATTTCATACGTTAAATATTAATATGTTTTTCATCTATACACGTGGGAATATTTGCATTAAAAAAGCGAAAGAATGCATAGAAAATGAATTCTGCAATATTTACTCACAGGTGTTTCATGATCTCTTTTGTTACTTTCGGACGACGCGGTTGTGCATTAACGTGATCTGCCATCAATTGTCGTTGATGTTCGTCATCAGTTGAGATTTCTCCCTCATCGTCTGTTCTACAAAAAATAGATTGATCACTTACAGACTATCTTCATGAGTTTTAATATTTGACTTACTGATCGATCGATACCCGTTTTCGTTTGTGATTTCGAGGGATTGTGCGTGCTTTCACTTCTTCTTTCTTGTGTTGATGAGTTTTACGCAGGAACTTGCAACATCTAGGTAAAACAAACAATAGAATTCGTTTTTTTGTAAAGATGCACTATTTTTCAATGTTCAGATGAAGTCAGATAAACTCAGTTGAATTTACATATTTGATTATTCTATGCATTAGTTTGACTCTTGTTCTAATCATTGCTTTTGAAATTGCAATTCATCATCGACATGTAAATCTATATTTCCCGATTAAATTTGGGAAAACAACTCAATGAGAGTTTTTTTTTTGATAGAACAAATCAAATAGCCGAGTTTTGATCATTATGAAAGATGTAGATTTTCTACTCATCATCAACTCTCATCTGACATACTAGATCTTCGGATAAAAACATGACAAAAATTATGATTGAAAGACTTTTGCTTACATAATAATTTGTTTGAATAGGAGCCAGAGAAACCATTGAATAGGTCGAAGCGATAAACCATAGAGAATAATAATACTACCGAAAGTAAGTAGAATCTGTTGGCCTTGTCTTGAGACTACGCAGAGAAAAAAGAACAACAACAAATATTATACGTATTGTTTTTTTCGTTCTTGAAAATTTCGTCGCATATAGTGATAAACACAGATAGTATTTTCCTTAGTGCTTGATATTCCTTCGTTGAAACGGCATTTCGCCCCTCCCCCTCGTATGGCAAAATTTTGACACCTTTGCTATCTTTCATAGATGTATAAGAATTAAGTGCGAAGTATTTGCATAAGAAATTGTTTTTCAATTTATGTAGCTGCGTAGAAGGAGAATAAATCGATTCTCTTACTTTTTTCACAAAGAATACCGCCGTACAAGAACGAACACGAACATTTGAAGCCCGATGGACTATTAACACAATAACCATGTTTGCCACATACATCATTTGCAAAGCAAAAGTCAAGCACTAATTGATAAGAGAAAACATCAGAGATGAAGAAAAAAACGAAGAAAAATAATGTACCATATTCACAGACATGATTATATTTGACATTGGGATCAGTGTCACTCAATGAGCAGACAATTTTCTTGTCACGCAAAAAAGTTGTTAGCACATAGACTTGAGAACTATTTTTCATAACATTCCAAACGACTTGATCACAGATACCATGAATATCATCGATCTGTTCAAAATCATCGGCTTCGTCAGGCAAATCGAGATCTTCTTCTTCTTCGTAATCTTGTTCATTGACTTTCATTGAATTGTGAATAATCGATTTTTGTGCACCATCCATTGTTTTATCATTATAATATTCATTTGAATCATGATGATCAAGTCGAAAATTTTCTTTCTTGTCGTGAACAGCTTGTTTAATCTTTTTCGAACGCCTTGATATACGCAAACCTGCTGCACGTAATTCATCAAGTACTTTCGTTTTCAATTTATAATCTCTTATTCGTGCTTTGCGAAATTTTTCTTTCATCCGTTGCCAATTACCTTGATCATTCATCAATAATTCGGTAATTTGTTTTCCTAAATAAAAAAATGGAATATGAGATTTGTTTTGTGATATTAGCTCACTTTTGAACAATTGCAGATCGATATAGAATATCAATGAGGAGAAATTATTTTTGGTGACAATATTTGCTGCATGGAAAAATTCGATAGAATTACGAATTTGCATTAACTGTGAATGATTGAAATGCAAGAGGCTACAAGTATAATTGGCTTCATTTGATGTCGAATTGATATTGGAAATATAGTAACATGCACCACCTAGACGTCGCCATCCTTTCGGGCAACGAAATCTATTGACTAAAAGTAGTAACAACAAGTATAAGGTCAACTACCAAGAGTATTGATCTTCGCTAACACAATGCAAAGAACATCATCATTTGATACCCTTCACTAGCATACAGTTGAAATCAGTGGGTACAAAAACGTTGTGCTCCATGAATACTCTGATCATCTCTATTATTTTAAGCTGTGAAAAACTACTTTCTAATATTGTTGTAATCGCATCGTTCTCCTAAAATGTCAATCTCGACTAGTTTTTTTACACAACAAAAAGCATCAGTGATTTAAGACTACCCAAGCAGACAAACTTTTTCAAAAACGCGTTTAAACGCGTTTTTGAAAAAGTTTGTCTGCTTGGGTAGTTGACATGAAATTTGGTTCTATGTTGAATCTTTTTTGTGTACTCAAAAAGTGAGTACACTCTAGACTCGGTCAGTATGTCCGGCCGGCCGTTTACACGATAAATTTCGAAAGGAGAGTCCGATCACGATGAAATTTTCCATACAGTTCAGTCTTTACAATATCTCGGTCGAGTTCGAAGATGAGAAGGATCAGCCGAGCCGTTCCTGAGTTATTGCAAATATACCCATTTTTCCCTATAGCTTCCTATGGAAAAATCGACCCATCGCCGCTTTCATAAAAGACTTTTCCTATCATAGTCAATTAAAACCCCAACTATTATATACCATTCGATAGAGAATTTCAAGAGCTACAAA